TAAGTAGCTGGGACTATTGGCACCCACCACAATGCCCAGCTGTATTTTTGGTTGTTTGATATGAAGGCTTACATTGAGACAATAAGATTAAGAAGTTCCTGGTTCAATTTTTGGATATCACTATTGAACTGAAATAAAAACTATCTCCCCTAAATTCTATTCTTGGATAATTAGCCACTTACTGAATATTCCTACTGCATTATCCTTAACATCATCTCTTAATGATACCTTTGGACTTAAAATATATGAAGTTCTGATTGATACATGGATCAGCATTCTCCCAGTTACACAGGATTAATTTTTTATAGCCATCTATATATGTATTTGAGTGTTTATATACAATATATATACATATTCAACATATATATGTGTATGTATATATATATGTATAGATGGCTATAACAATTTAATCCTGGATATATATATGTGTGTGTGTGTACATAGATATATGTGTGTATATATACATATATAGCTATCTTCCGTACTACATAGATAATCATCAGGACATAGTGATGAATCCATATAGGATCTGTTTAATCCTATTTGTCACCACCTTAGTTTAGGCATTTATAACCTGATACTTGGATTATTGTGTTCCAGTTTATTACAAATAAAGCTACTGGAATATTCTTTACTTTGTACATATGCACAAGTTTTTCTAGGTTCTATCCCTACTAGAATTGCTGTATACATAACTTTTATTTTTATGTGGGAAAGCCAGTTTTCCAAAACAGTGCCCCAATTTAGGTTTCTATCCACAGCACGTGGCACTTTCTTCCTTACCGCCCACCCTTCTTTGTCAGTGTGGGGAACTGTCAGACTTAAATTTTTCCATTTTAATAGATGTGTAGTAGTATCTCATTGTGGTTTTAATTTGTATCTCCCCCTTCCCTAATGAAGGTAAGCACTTTTTTATGTTCTTGATTCCATTTGAGGTTCTTGATGTGTACTATCCTTTCTCGGTTTTTGTATGAAGAACTTTTATTTAAGATGAGTTTATATAATCTTTTCCTTATGAAAGATGTTAACCTTTTATCAGGACCAGCTTGTCCTTAAATGCTGTAGCAGATTTATCCAAAACCAGTCTGAGACAGAAGGAAATTTTGGTCCCCATATCAATCCTATCTTTTATAAAAAGAAAGGTAATAACAACCAAAGCTTTTTGCCAAATCGGCATTCATTTGGTAGCAGTAGGTATAGTCTGCTCTGTACCAAGCTCAACTCTGGAAACAAGACAGACAAGATTCCACCACCCACAGTGTTATGTTTTAGAGTCAGATTTAAGAACAGCATTTACCCAATACTGTTTTATGGCATGGCGTCGCTAAACAATCACTGACAGAAATTACATAAAAAGTATTAAGGCAGCCAGTAATCAATACACTTTATAATCTTTGCAGTCAAATAGACTTTGGTTTCAGTTTTTATTCCCAAAACATGACTTTGTGCTTGCATGTTACCTAATCTCTCTGAAGTCAGGTTTTGTCATCTGCAAAATGGAAATAATAACCTGTAATGTTACGATGATTCAGTGAGGCATTTAATACACGTAAACAGCAGAGTACATCTCCTAGGTCACATAGCTGTCGTGACAGCAATGAAACCCAGAACTACTGGGTTCAGTGAATTATCACTGCTTATGCTAATGTAAGGTTTTAGCTTAAAGAAAGATAGGAATGGTTACCATGTATGCTTCAGTCATCTATGAAGATTATTTTACCCATCTTCCATTTTAGGACTTTTTGGGGGCATGGAAAGGGAAAAGGTATACATGGAGCAGGAAAGTCAGGCAAAAGAAGATCTTAAGCATTTGGGGTCCCCTGAAGTACAGAAGCAAAATTGAAGCCTATTAGGGAAAACTAGTACTGCCATATCTTCCTTCCAATGGGGCGGAGGTTTTTTTTTTTTTTCCACTTTTGGTTTTTTTTTCCTTTTGTAACTATAAGGGTGTTGTTTTCTGTTTTCTGTTTTTTTTTCTTTTTGAGACAGAGTCTCACTATGTCGCCCTCCGTAGAGTGCTATGGTATCACAGCTCATAGCAATCTCAAACTCTTGGGCTTAAGCAGTTCTCTTGCTGCAGCCTCCCAAGCAGCTGGGACAACAGGCACTCGCCACAATGCTTGGCTATTTTTTTGTTGCAATTTTCATTGTTGCTTAGCAAGCCTGAGTGGGGTTTGAACCTGCCTGCCTCAGTGTATGTGGCTGGCCCCTAACCACCAGCCAATGGTGTTTTCTAACTGTTTATATCCCATAATGCCATTTCATTTGATTATTACTCCTTTAGCAATATTAAAATGAAGATGAATAAATGTCTGCATCCGAAGCAATATTACTACTAATGTGTTGTTTGTGCTCTTTTGTTAAAGCTTATAGATCTTCAGTGGAAACTGGGTATGGCTGTGAGCTCGGACACTTGTAGATCTCTTAAGTATCCTTAC